AAAATTACAACTTGATCTTCGACCCCTATACCACTTTGATATTCAATAGATGAATGTCGAGGGGACAATCACTCTCAATGTTGTCTTCGACCTCTGTTGTGATACTAGAATAATCATATAACACTCTCTTTGAAAGAACTCTCTAATCAATCTTAGGGGCGGTGATTTCTTTTCCACAACTGAAGATATAATTTCTAACACCATATGGAGCTGGTGTTATATGTGGGGATTAGCAAATGGCCCAATCATGCTACCTTTATACCATGTCAATGGAGACTCTCAACATCATAAGTTTTGACCTCTAAGATGAATATATCTTCCATCAGGCTTCACAACTTAAACTAATCTAAAATCAACCTAAACTTAGGTGAATGAAGGTTAAGTAAGATTTGACTTCTCATATGAGAATAAAAGCACACACTTAGCCTTATTCGGAAATAATTTGGGTTAAAATACCAACCAACCAAAATGAAATGACATAAAATTCACCCTAAAAGACATTTAAACTTAAACTTGAACTAAAAAAAATGCAACCTGATTTGAAAAAGTATTTTGGAGGAGGCAACCCGTGAATGTTAACAAAATAAATTCCAGTCACTTGTGACTAATCAAATTCAGAAACCATAAGGACATAGAAATGAAAGAACCATGAGATCTTGACCGGCTCATCCTAAACAATAAAAATACAATGACAAAATAAAAAAAAGTTAATCGATTAATAAGTCTTAAGGAACTTAAAATTTTTTAACCCCTAAAATCTGAAAAATGCATTAAAATTTAAATGAAACCTTATTGAACAAAGATCACCAAACACAACTTGAATCCTAAGTGCCTAAATCTACGAAGATTTATTGGATGATGCAATCTGTGGTTGCTGACAAGAATTTTTCAGTCAAAGTAAGTTTGATCACCACTTAGACTAAGTAGGCCAGGGTTCCTGATGACCCAAAAATATGGAGCCGTGGAAATCTTGACATGGTTGTCTAAAAATTAAAAAAATTAACAAACAAACAAAAACACAATTATCTACTAACTTTATTTTGCAAGGCTACTGAAGACAAAAGGCGGATGTCACCCAAGATTTACTTTGCATATTAATAGGATGTGCTAACTCTGTTTGGTAGGGACATACATTCAAAACCCGTAGCAAACGGATGAACCTCAACTAAACCATCAACGACTAAACAAAACTCTAGGATAGCTCAAAATTTTTAGGAATATCCTACCTTTAGGATAAGACTTTGACATTTGTTTTCTTAACCATGATACTTAAACTTTGTGAGAACGAATTTTAATCTCAATCGAGTGTTTTCTTGAATAGAATTGATTATTTAAGATGTAATTAATTATAGAGATTTATCCCTTTAGGAGGATGAGAACCTCATAACAGGTACATTAACTTGAATTCTCTAGTAATTAGTTTTTATAAGATTTATTTTATAGTTGTGTCTTTAAAGCATATCGAAGTACTCTCACTTTGGGTTTATGTTTTGGAGCAATAAATGAGAAAATTTACCTTATGATGGCTTCCCATATATTTTTTTTTTGTTCCCATTATCGCCTATCTTAGTCCACTGATTTCTCATCTCTTAGTTCATTTGTATGATTTGCAAAGGAGAATTATTCGAAGAAAAGGGCAACATAATGGAAAATAAACTGGCGACTCCTCAACAACAACAATAATATCAAACAACCGACGAAAAGAAGACCGATGGTACACGACGAGCGACACCAATATTATTATCATAAATTTTATTATTTTATGAAAAAAATGAAATGATAAAATTTTCAAATTAATAGGAGCTATTTTGAATGAATTGGATTTGATCTCATAATTTTTGTTTAAAATAATTGTGCTTGATAAACTTTATTCATGCAAATATTTAGTAGAATTGTTCACCATGCTAATCTCTAACTTTAAAAAAATATCCTTTAATGATATAGTGGTCTTCTGGAATGTATGACTGATTTCAATGATTACAAATTATACAAAAGAACAATTGAACTAATTATTTTCTTATAGTTAAATGATTTGAGGTAATTAGCACACCAATTTAATATTAAATATGAAGATCTATTCCTTAGTGAAAGAGAATAGTGTGCCTTTCATGTCAAAGAGAAACATATCCTAACATATCATGAATGTTATGAACAAACAAGTTAGATGTATATTATTACTAAGAAAATAATTTATAAAATAAAATTTAGAAAAATACTTTTTAATTAGATTTTCACATATGGTTTAAAGAACATTAAATATATTGTTATACAACTTGCTAACCAATCATACATTACTATTTAAATTAATTTTAAGAAATTTATGTATTAATTGTATGAAAAAATAAAAAAAATAAACTCAAGTTATTAGGCAAATCTAAAATTTTTGCTGGTTAATGTAAAATCATAACAATATCCATTACTTTTGCATAGTTCATAAAGTTTCAAAGAATCGTAAAGGGGGGTAGTTGTGCGTGCTGAAAAATAATTTTAATAAGCCTCTTTAAAATTTGTCGAACACCACTGACTCTGCGAGCCTATTTAAACCTCAATAGTATATATAAAAAGATTAATACAAATAATATTAAAATAATGATCACTAACCATTTGAATTCAAATTAATCAATTAAATATAAGATTTGGATGGGTTAACTAATACAAAAAAAATAAAAAAAAATTTATTAAGCCAAATTAGTACTTGGATTAAAAATTTTAAAAACCTTAGGTGTTTCATGTAAATATCTTCTTAAGAGTTTGTGTATGAAAACCTATTCTCCCATCCTTAAAAAAAACCCCTATAACTCTTGTTTCATTCAATCATAAAGCTTACATTAAAATTTTTCTAAAGGAGAGTTTGAAAGGTAGAAAGAGATAAAAAAAACATTACTTAATCAAGGATGATTCATTCATGATTTATGATGAAGCTGAGCTTTATGATTGCTTTACATGTGCATATAAGAGCCAATTTTTATAGTATAATTTAGTTCTATTATCATTTATAGTAAATTTGTTTCATTGTTCTAGTGGAATACATGGATAATGAACTCTTTTCTTAAGGAAAATAGGTAAAGAGGATGCTTTTGAGCATAAATAGTGTTGGTTTTGCGGTAAAAGTCTTTTTATGAGCATTTCTCGCCTATGACAAGATCAAAATATTATATATTCATATGCTTTTCTTTTGTACTTTCTACATGCTTGATATCACATTTACAATGAAGAAAACACTTGATTCCATGCATGAGTACCCTGCGTATTCCTCAATTGACTCTCATTTTGAATATATAATATCTAATGCCCTTCTACTTTGCCAAGTTTGAGTGCCCTGCGTATTCCTCAATTGACTCTCATTTTGGAGAGAAGCCAAAAAAATAATCTTGTATCATTCAGAGATATCTTCTCCTCAAAGTCACATAATGCTCTTGCAATGGCCACCTGTATAAGGCTGTTAAAAAAGCCATTCGTTCATGAACAACTCGCGTTCGCTAAATATCTCATGTTCAATTCGTTTGTTAAGTAAACAACTCGAATACAAATCATTTTTTTTAGCTTAATTTATAAGCAATTCAAACACGAACAAAATTTGCTCGGTTATGGTCAGTTCGTTTTAGCTCGAAATAATTAAAAAATTAATTAAATAAATAATAATTTTTATTTATATATTTTCTATATTTATCTTCTATATGTATTAAAATGCTAAATTTCCTTATTTTTAAAAATTAATTTTATGTTATATTCATAAAAAAATAATTAAATTTAGGTGTTAGATATGTAAAAAAAAAAAAAAGGTTTGGGCGGTATGTTTGTAAATTTCTCAAAAATAAAGCATTAGTGGAATCTCTTTTTTATTTAGGAATTATAACTGTAAATATATAGAGTTAGTGGTATGTAGGCAGTGCAGTGAGTTCTGGACGAGGAATTATTGCGTGCGGACTCCACATGCATCTCTGCATGCGGTGTCCGATCCTGACTGTAGATCACGGTGATCTACGGTCAGGATTATTTCCTTTTTTTTAAAATTTAGATGGGGCCCACCGAAATACATCGGGATCGTAGATCAGGTGATTTACCGTCCGGATCGGACACCGCCTGCAAGCTACGTGCAGTATGCGCTCCGTCGTATGGAATAATTTTTCGTTCTAGACAGGCCTTAGAACCCGCTTTGAATAGTATATAAAAATACATAAGAATTTTGCCCCACCAGCCATAAAACTGCCGGTTGCCACTCCTGTTTACATTTAGTTCTACAACAACTGAAAGTAAGAGAATACCCATTAATAATTCTATGTGATGAGTTTTCTACCGCCTACACTCATCAAGTGTTTCTTGAAATAAATTAAATAAAAAAATTATAAAAATATAAAAGCCCAGCTGATTTGAATAATTTTAAATTTAAACGAGTCCAATACGAATAAGAATATTTTTCAATTCAAATCGTTTACATCGCTACATAGGTGTGAGTTTTCTATTGAATGCTAAATTTAAAAATTGGGTTGGGGCAGCTTATTTGATGCGGTGACGTTTTGAAAATGCACCTGGTCTGTTTGGGTAAATTGCTTTTTGGTAACTTATGGAATTTCAAGACGACGTTTTCACACCACACCTATCTAGGCAGCTTTCTGGCAGCGGTATGAGTTTTTCAAAAGAAATAAAAAATTGTAATAGCCACTGATCCAAACTTATCAACACATTATTTTTAATCAGCTTATCAACAGATGGTTTAATAAGCTGCAGCTGCCCCAAACAGTAATATTGAAATTCACAGAATATGTTATCATGATTTTAATTTTAAAATTCATTGTTATTTTACTAGCCACAAAGACAATTATATCATATAATTACTTTTAAATTATTTAATATTTATTTTATTTAATATCTAATTTTATATAATACTCATTATTTATCAAATAATTAAATTAGAATTTATTTTTTAAAATTTCAACATAACATTATTGTAAGTCAATTTTAAAGTGCAACAAATATGTTCTAATCCCTAATCATTTTGATCGTTTCTTCCACGCGGGGGTATTGACTGGTATGCTTAAAAAAGGTACCAGTTTTCGTGACATTTTGTTTTGGCATCACCACTCCAACCATCACTCGGCTACTCCGGAGAAATTGGAAAATATCATCCGCAAATGGTCATGGCTTTTAATAGGGTTAGAAGAATTGTCTCTCTGTAACGGTGGGTTTTGTTCATCCTTGCTCTCGAATTAACCGGAAAGCTTGGCCGTGGAAACCATGGAGCATCCTCCGCAGACCTCCAAGTACACCGTAACCCACGATTCCAAGTAAGCGATCGTGTAGG